CAACATGTCTTCAATTCCTGAGACCTTATGGTATTTTTTGTTTGGAGGGGTTTTTGATGCCTTATGTTTTGCCAGCCCTTTCAGTGTAGCTTGAACTTCTTCCCTTTTACCATTGTTTCTTGATCATACACTGCTTCCTGTAAAGGTTCAATATTAATTTTTGTTTTGTTTTGTTTTTCTGATTGTAAAAAAGTCTTCAACTGTTATTGTAGACCTGTCTGTTTCCTTCTCTTCAGTTCTGTCAGTATTTGCTTTGTATACTTGGTGACCCTGAGGCTAGATAAATATATATTGGTAATTATTGTATCTTTCTGATTAGTGGATCTTTTCATCATTACAAAGTTGTAGATACTTTGTCTCTTATAATAAATTTTGATGTAAAGTCTACTGTTTTTCCTTCTCATTTCTTCTCTTTCTGAAATTTTCATGTTTATTATATTTGTCTTGTTGATGGTATTCCACAGATCCCTCTGGTTTTGTTCCTCTTTTTCCGTCAAACTCTGTAATCTCAGTAATCTCAGTCACCCAATATTGAAGTTCATTGATTCTTTCTTCTCCAATTCACATCCGTTAATGCATCCCTCCAGTGACTGATTCATTACTATTACTGGTACTCATTTGGGGCCCAGGTCCTACGTTCTGTTCCCAGGATCAGCGCCCAGGGTCTCTGGAGCTCCAGCTCATGCTACTGCCCTAACATGTGCTGTTCTGACAGATAACACTCTGTCCTAGGACTCTGGACCATCTGGAGCCCTCTGTGCTGTAGAGGAACTTGGTTGCTTTACTTTGTGTACTGTGTGAACCTGGCTCGCCATGTCCAGGGATGCCAACCACAGCCACCTGAAGACAGCCTCACTGACATTGGATAAGCTGGTGGTAGTATGTATGTGTAGTGAACTTCCATTCTGCCACCAGCTGCCTGCTACTATTTTTTTTTTATTAATTTTAATGAAAGTTTACAGAGACTTAGAGTTTCCAATCATTCGTGGTTGCACTTTTCTCCTTGCCCACTCCCTCCCCCCCCCCATTCACTCTTCTCCTTAAAAAGTAAAAGTAAAACTCTTTAATTGTTATGCAGTCCCTCTACCCAAGTCCATGCCACTGTGCAGCCTTCATTCTGGACTCCTGTCATGATAATAATAGCAAATCATATATCCCTTTTAAACAGTTCTCTCCCTCATCTCTTTCAATGCAGTGTACATCATTCCTCCCCTCCTTCTCTGACTTCCCTCAACCCCAATGTCAGACCCGTTTAACAACAGTGGTCCTGTGCCATATTTGTCCTTTAGTGACTGAGATATTTCACTCAGCATAATGTCCTCCAAGATCATCCATTTTGCATAATATTTCATTAATTCCTTATTTTTCAATGCTGCATAGTATTCTACTGTGTGAATATACCAGGGCTTCTCTATCCGTTCATTTGTCAGTGGGCACTTGGGTTGTTTCCAGCTCTTTTGCTATTGTGAACAAAGCTGCAATAAACATGGGTGTGTATACCTGCTATTATTTTCTTGATTCATTGTTCTCTCTCTACTCCATACCATCCACTTGGTTCCAGAGTCTATCAGTTTCATCCGTGTTTGCTTGCTTCCTTCTAAGGAGAAAGGAGATTGTAGTCACTGATGCCACTATCCTATCACCCCTCCCAAAAGTGGCAGAGGCCTGAGGTTCTAAGAAAAAATATGTTGAAAATATTTGGAAACTAAAAACCACTTTGTTTTACTTTTATATATGAATACCTAGAATTACAGTTTGGGGTTTTTTTTGGGGGGGGGTAATTCTTTTTTTAAAAATTTATTATTAATTTCAATGAAAATTTACAGAAATTTTGGATTTCCATTCATTCATTGTTGCACTTTTCTCCCTTTCCAACCCTCCCCCAGTACACTACCCTCTTGGAAAAATTTAAAAAAAAATTATTTCATTGTTTTATAATCCCTCCCCCCACGTCCACTCCACTATGCAGCCTTCACTCTGGACTCCTGTCATGACAAAACTACCTAATCACATATCCCTTTTAAACAGTTTTCTTGCTCATCTGTTTCAATGCAGTATACATTATTGAACCCTTCTTTCTCAGTCTCCCTCCAACCCCGATGTCAGTCTTGTTTTACAACAGTGGCACCATGCAGTATTTGTCTTTTTGTGACTGAGATACTTCACTCAGCATAATGTCTTCCAGGGTCACCCATTTTGAATAATATTGCATGAGTTCCCTTGATTTTCAATGCAGCACAGTATTCCATTGTGTGGATATACTACAGCTTCTCTATCCGTTCATTTGTTGATGGGCTCTTAGGTTGTTTCCAACTCCTTGCTGTTGTGAACAAAGCCACGATAAACATGGGTGTGCATATATCTGTTTCAGTGTCAGCTGTGGTCTCTTTGGTCTCTTCCATCCAGTAGTGGAATTGCTGGGTCAAATGGTATCTCTATTTGTAACTTTTTGAGAAAGCGCCATTCCACATTCCACAGTGATTGCACCATTTTACACTTCCACCAACAGTGAGTAAGGGTTCCAGTTTCTCCACAACCTCACCAGCATTTGTTGCTTGCTCTTCTGTTAAATTTTGCAATTCTGACTGGGGTGAGATGATATCTCATAGTTGTTTTGATAGAATTACAGTTTTATAGTCATAATTAGAGGGAATAGTTGTTTTATTCTGTCAGCTTCATTCAAATCCTGTAACTCTGGAAAAATTTCCTCTTACTAAACAGAAGCTTTGTGAAAAATAATATATTCAACCTTTGTAAATAAATTTTTTAAAAAGTTTAGCTAACAATTTGTTATCAACAGCAAAATTTAGTAAGTACATAAATTACCCAGTTTTTTATTATAATGGACATAATTTAATCTTATTAAATCAGACTATGTTAATGTTGATTTAACCCATTTTTCTAATTATAGTTGCTCTTTATTCCATTTTGTAGCTCTCACTGCCTTAATTAGTAGATTTTTTTATAATGAGCACCTAGGAATTAAATCATGTCTGCATCTTTGTGTTTCTTTCTGCTTGGTATTTGCTACTATAGTGGTTTTTAAAACAAAATGCTCAGAGTTTAATACTATAGTACTCATTGCCATCAAGTCAGAATCAACTCACAGCTGATCCTCCAGTGGGTTTTCTGGAAGCTGTAAATGGCATAGGAGGAGATTGTCATTCTTCCTCCCTTAAAGCTATTGTATTCAGACTGTCAGAAGCTATTAGATTCAAAACACCTCTAGGGTTAGCTAGAGTTAGCAGCCAACTCCCTCAGAATATAGTGGATCTGTTTTGCTTTATTCTTTTTGATCAATTCATCTGCTTTTTAATTTTTCGTTAAGTTTCTGATTATCGTTTAGCCAGTGAATGTCTGCATTATACTATTTTACCACTTTTTTAATTCATATAAGTTTCTCACACACAGGGCTGATTATAAAACTAGTGAGCATAGGCCTGGATAAGTGAGAGGAATGTCACTGAACTCAGTTGAGAAGTAAAGTGACCTTTGTCCATGTCCTGCCTTGTGCTAATTGAAGAACTGTGTTTCTAATTTTTCTTCTTTTAGAGGGGAGGGTCAATCTTTTTTTTTTATACTAGTTTATTTACAAAATTCATATACACTGTCTTTTCCAGACCCTTTCTATTTCCCTCACCCCCTACCCATCAAATTGTACAACCCCATGATTAATCACCTCTCCCTCGCTGCACATCCTCATCCCTCTGCTGCCACTCACCCCTTTGGATCTTCATCAGAAACAGAAGAAATTAAATCGATAATATCAGAATACTACAAAAAGCTATACTCTGATAAATTTGAAAACCTAGAGGAAATAGACAAATTCCTTGAAATGCATCCCCTAACCAAATCGACAAGCACAGATATAGAACACTTGAACAGACCCATCACAAAAGAAGACATTGAAAAAGTCATAAAAAGACTTCCCCATATGAAAAGTCCTGGATCAGATGGCTTCACAGCTGAATTCTACCAAACATTCAGAGAGGATCTATCACCAATTCTACTTAAATTATTTCAGAAAATTGAAAAAGAGGGAACACTTCCAGAGTCATTCTATGAAGCAAACATAACTCTAATACCAAAACCAGGCAAAGATATTACCAAGAAAGAATACTACAGACCAGTATCTCTCATGAATATAGATGCAAACGTCCTTAACTAAATCCTAGCCAGTAGAATCCAAAAGCACATAAAAAAAAATCACCATGAGCAAGTGGGATTCATAACAGGTATGGTTCAACATAAGAAAAACAATCATTGTATTTCACTATATTGTTGTTGTTGTTGATTGCCTTAGCAACCCTATGAACAAAAGGCCTGAAGTCCCTGTACAACTATAGACATTTATCAAAGTTAATAGCATTTCCAGAGGCATGTTGTTTAGGAATTGGATGCAAGAACCATATGATCTTAGCAATTGATGCAAAAAAAAAAAAAGGCATTTGACAAAATACAGCATCTCTTCCTGATAAAGACACCCAGCAAAATTGGAATGGAAGGGAATTTTCTAATTTATCTCTTGACTATGAATATTGTCAGAGGGAAAAGCATTTAGGAGCGCATTAGGAGTGGAAACATCTTTCTTCCTGTCCAGCTCAACTCGTTGCCATGGAATCAGAACTGACCCATAGCTGACCCTCCAGCAGGTTTTCTGATGCAGAAAATAGCACAGAAGGAGAGTGCGCATCCTTCTTGCGTGAAGCAGCTGTTGGCCTCGAACCACCTGCCTTTTGAGTTGACCGAACTCTCCCCTCTTAATTACTGTTAGTGTTATTTAAGAACTTCAGTTTTGTTTGTTGTTACTTCTGCAGGTTTTGGTTGAGTTGTATATAAAAGAAATATCTCTTGCTAGGAAGAAGTGCCACATAGCTTGTTGCATTAGTGCTTATGAGACTATGATGCTGTTTTGAACTGTTTGGTTATTACCAGAATTTTAAATTCAGCTTGTTTTAAGTTCTTAATCAGATGTTGGTCTGTGTTTGCTTTTTCTGTAGATTGCAACTCCTGCCCGATACACTGTGACTTTGGGAGGAACATCCTTCACTGTGAAGTATTTACGAAGTCATGGCTACATGTCAACTCCTCCTCCAGTGAAGGAGTATCTACAGGACAGGATGGAAGAGACCAAGGAGCTTCTCACAGAGAAAATGGAAGAAACAAAAGACAGACTCACTGAAAAATTACAGGAAACCAAAGAAAAGGTTTCTTTTAAGAAAAAAGTGGAATAAGGTGCCTTTTGTATTAGTTCATAGAAAATTCATGCACTTGAACTCTTTGTGCAGTGGCACATCCTCCAGATGATCTTTGTGGCTTGTTGTCTAAATACACCTGTTAGTTAGTTTTGGTTAGTTGCCTAAATATACCAGTTCTCTGAGGGTTAAAGAACAATAATCCCTTTTTAAAGTTATTAGTGCTTGCTTCGGCAACATGTATACTAAAAATGGAACAATACAGAGAAGATAAGCATGGCCCCTGTGCAAGGATGACATGCAAATTCGTCAAGCATTGAAGTTACTAATACTAGGAAAATCAGTGCTTTTTAATAGGAAAGAATTTCACATCAATAGCAGCATTAACAGTGTTGAGAGTTCTTTTTCTTTTTAAGGTTCTTGAGAATCATGCATGCTTCATGTTCTGTTGCATCCTGTAATTTATGCAGATGAGGCAGGTGGCTCCATTTGATAAGCTGTTCATCTTTGCAAATATGTTACTAAGTCTTTAAATATATTCACTTCTAAGTGTGAAGACAAATACTCTCATCTAACTGCCTTTCTCTAAAAGCAATATGTAAGTTACAAACAAGTTATAGTTTAGGCTGTCTATGGAGAAAGTTGGATTAAAATGAAGACGTTCATGTAAATAAGGTATATTGGTTTTGTGTAAATGAAAAAGGTACGCCTTTAAAAATTATTATTGAAGCTTAGATGATAATTGCTGATTCAAAACATTTTAACCAAATATATGACCATAGTTATTTTTCCAAATTGGTGATAATCCCCCAGAACACAAAACTTTATTGTGTTTTTCACCTGAGCTTACAGAGGAAAGTAGAAGTAATTTTACCTTAGGTTTGTTGATGAAATGAAATACTCTTAAGCAGCAACTCAAGCTTGTAGTCTCAACTAGATAAAGGTTCAGGAGACTCGAAATGCTACCAGCATGTTGTAGATATTCCTTGCCCTCTTAGCCATTTCTACAGATCTTCCTCAGCCAGCGAGGAAGTGTTTCTGGCTTCAGAACTAATGTTGATTTCATTGTGAAGTACATTTTGAAAGCAGAGCTCCTTACTTTTCCCTAAGATTGAAATACCCATACCCTTGCCTGAGCATTTTACTTGAATTTTGGGCAACAAAACTATTAATTAAACTACCCAATTGGAAAGAAGCGCATTCACTGTCAGATATGAAGGTTATGGTCATACAGATGCATTTCTGTGGCACTTGTCTGTTTGCTTTGGCTTTGCCTTATTTCCACCCCTCTAATGGCTGTTTGGAAGAAGAAGGGTATCTTTTTAGATTGCATTCTCTTCTCGTAAGGAAAGAGAACATCACAGGCTGCCAAGGACGGTTCTGTCGGATCTCCACTGCTAAAGCAGGATTATTGAATCAAATGTGGAGTTGGCAGAATTTTGAAAATAGTTCAAAGGCCAAAAGTGTTTATGCTTTATTCACTCTGTGTTAAACAGAATTCTTTCAAAATAATTTCTATCTCAAGATGGGGAATCGAGTGATGCAGAAATGCTGGTCTTAGTACTAAAAGCTTTAAAAGGGGCATGTGTAATAAGTTGTTTGGAATATTAGATATTAGTAGTAGGCTGGTAGATTGTAGTACAGAGTATGTTGCCAAATAAATGATGAACAGTGAGATGTGATAAATTCACATGTCCCTTCTGTTGCTTACAAGGCACTGTGAGAAACAATAAGAAAGCTGCTGATATCTGCTGATAAGCTACTGAAAGAAGCCTGATATCTGTATCTGTATTTCAGTATGATTTAAGTAGATTAGATAATGGATGAAGAGAGTTGGCTTAGCCAAGTATTAATTGAAATTAAAAATGCTTTCGTTTGTTCAAAGATAATGACTAAATCAACCTTTAAAGTACCACACCTGTCACTGAAAACCCAATTTGCTTTGCTTTGTGAACTTAAATCACAATTTTAAAAGCAACTTTAAATAAAGCACCACATCAAAAAATACCTTTTACTGAGACTGTCTTTTGCTTACAAGATGCTCTTTACAGATTCCAACAAAAGAGAAAGAGAAAAAAAAAAGAGGAAGAGAAGTTATATATTGTGATTACGTTCCTTCCAGTTTTGGAAACAATAACATAGTGATTTAAAGATAACTTGATCACGATTGAGGTGGAGGCCCTCCAGCCTGGGACGATGGTGATGGTGAGTATCCCGTGCAGGTGAGTATCCCGTGCAGCATCATTCCAGTTCTGCTCTGGGTCTACAAAAAATTCCTGGAGCCATACTTAAACCCTCTGGTAGCCCCTTTTGTTAGTCCCATATGGCCTCAAAAAAGTCTACAGCAACCCATTGATCAAATAAATGAATTACCAACTAATGGACCAACTGAAATCTCAGATAAAAAGAAAGACTGAAGTGATTTTTCCCAGAAGATTGCATTGTTTTCAAAATGGACTTGATGGAGATCCAAGATGGCGGTGGAGGCAGAGACAGCGTGGTGAGCTGCGGGAGCAGCGAACCACTTAAAGCAGGGCCATTATGGCCTTCCACAGACTTCAGCTTATTGATAATTGAACACTTAAACAGTTGATGACTGGCCCTCAGTGAAGATCGAGGCTCAACAACAGGAATTCAAGGATTCCCAAGGAGAAATGGGTGAGTCTTGTGGCTCCCAACACCCCCCCTCCGCCCCCCGCAGAACCCATGCCGCGCTGCACAGCCGCTACAGCTCCGTGAGGCTTCCACAGCTGGAACGAATGGATTCCCTCACCCAGGATGGATGCTGGGCACTGGCCCTCCTCTAGACTGGTACAGTGAAGCCACCACATTGCCGCAAGATGGACTTGGTCTAGAGAGAATTCTTGGAGCCAGGATGGCGGCTGTGGGGGAAGTGGACGCCCGCCGGCCACCTGCACAAGAGGGGCCGCACACCAGCCGAGCGCCCGTGTGGTGGGGTGGGGGGGCGCGCTCCCAACGGCTGCCCGCGCGGGG